CAAAAGAATTAATTTCAAAAAATTAAATTTGGGTAATTATTTTCAAATGGCAAGTTTTATTAACTGCACTACATTTCAATTGCAACAATGCTAACTAATTAAAGTTTTGAAAATAAAAACACAACAAAATAAGAATTGAGAACACACATCTAACTTCTAATAGAAAGGGGAAGGAGGGTCTACTATTCATACAATAGTAAATGAATCCAATTTTACTATGCATGATGTCATTTTTTATTTTTTATTTTATTTATGTCAAACAAATGTTCTTCCACATATCATCCCACTAGCATTAAGAAAATAATTATGTCAAACAAATATTCTTTCACACATCATGCCATAGCATTAAAAAAAGAAAATTTTAGTAAATATAAACTGCCATGAGCAAAAAAAAAAAAAAAACCTTTTTGCACATAAGTTTTAAAAAAAATAAAAAAAACTCTCCACATAGTGTGGAGAGATGACAAACTATGTACAGGGAGTTGGCAAACTCTCCGTACAGTGCGAAGTAAAAAAACAAAAAAAATGTCTTCGCACAGTGCGGAGATATGACATTCTGTGCTAATAGTCCGCACAATCTGTGCGGACCTTGTCCTCACAAAGTGCGGACTTTCTGTATAGTGCGGAGTAAAAAAAGCAAAAAAAAAAAAATTTCGCACAGTACGGAGAGTTGGCAAACTCTCCATACAGTGCGAGGTTAAAAAAAAAATTCCGCACAGTGACTATCACGTGTGTTACACGAATTTTGCATTTATCGTATTTTTATTAGTGTATAAAATTTAGTTTTTTGGAAAGTTTTTGAAGTAATATTTAGAAATATTTTCATGATATAAGAAAATAATTATAAATTATTTTTGCAATTGCATAATAGTATTGTGTCATCTAAAAAATATACTTGTATCTTTCATACTTGAATAAAAAAATATACGAGATTATACAAATTATTTTGCTTGTATTCTTTGATAGTGTCGATATGATTGAATTGAATGTGAAGATTATATTTCTAAATTTTGTGTAATTCAATATTGGAAAATTGAAGATTGAGCATCATATTCATATATATTTATATTTTGTGCTTTATATATATTTAGTATTTATTTTATGTTTATATTGAAAAATAAAAATCTAAATTTTTTTTGGAATTCGATTTGGTAAGTGAATGTACGATATTCTGCATTCTCGGTATTTGTAAGTACAAAAGTCGTATATAGAAATATAGTAAATTACAAATACGGTAGCCAACATATACGGTAAGTTGCAAATACGGTAAGCAGTATATATGATAAGTTATTTGTAAATATGGTAGACTGCAAATATAGTAAGTTAAAAATACGATATGTAGCACATGAACAAAAAAAAGACTCCATAAAATGCGGAGAGATGACAAACTATCTCTCCGTACAGTGTCAAGAGAAAAACAAAAACTCTCAAAACTTTATCTGCAAGTTCCAAGAAGCTTTTTCTCAAACAACTTTTGAGTAATGCATTGAACACTTTAATTCTTGGCCTACACCCCGAAAGTATAATTTTATTGAAAATTGTATCCGCTTTTAATGTCCAAGAGCTGTTATCAAGCAAGTGTAAATTATTGAATTTGGTTGGTACGCTAAAGCCTCCATTTGTGAAAGCAATGTCATGGTACTATCAATATCACATTCTTTGCACAACTTACATATTATTTCATTGTATGAATAACGAGAAAACTCATTTTCAATACCATAAATATGATTTGCATGCTCAGAGATTGAGCTGTGACGGGAATTTAAAGAAGACATAATTGATTTTGAGCCATGTTTTTCGACTCTATTTCGTTGTATATACGAAAAATTTATAATCTTGAAATTTGACTTGTAATTAAGGAATTTGGAAATAATTCTCTACACTGTGCGGAGAGTTTTTTTTACTCCACACTATGCGAAGAGTTTGCTAACTCTTCACACATGGTTCAACTCTTTTCGCACTGTGCGGAGAAAAAAAATCTCTCCGCACTTTACTCCACACATGGTTAAACTCTTTACGCACTATGTGGAGAGTTTTTTCTCCACACTGTACGGAGAGTTTTGCCATGGTGCGGACCAACTCTCTGCACTATGCGAAGAGATTAACTCTCTCCGCACAGTGCGGAGAGTTTTTTTTTGTTCTCCGTACTGTTGGAAAAATTGGTTTGTCATCTCTCCGCATTGTGCAAAGATTTTTTTTACTCCGCACTGTGCGGAGAGGTTTTTTTCTCTCCACATCTTTTTTTATTTTTACTCCGTACTTGGTTCAACTCTCTCCGCACTGTGCGGAGAGTTTTTTTAATTTTACAATATTGAATTACACAAAATTTAGAAATATAATTTCACATTTAATTCAATCATATCAACACTATCAAAAAATACAAACAAAATAGTTTATATATTTCTTATTCAAGCATGAAATATACAAGCATATTTTTTCTAATATCATTAAAATATTTTTAGATATTACTTTAAAAACTCTCCAAAAAAACTAAAATTCATACACTAATAAAAATACGATAAATACAAAATTCGTGCAACACACGTGATAGCGACTAGTATCAAAATAAACAAAAATAAAAATTCTTTATTACAACTAAAATGTCATGTAATTGATAAAAAAATACGATCTAAATATAATATCCTCTTAAATTTAACTAAAATTCTCCCAAAACACCCCCTCTGCATCCTTTCATGCGATCCTGGTTAAATATATTTACACCATAATTTTTAATAATTAGACTACATTTTAATTATATGAAATGTTATTAACCTTTACACATTATCACCCTTATGTCTTTAAATTTTTTCATTGTTCACAATTATGGTTTCTATCCAAAATTTTCTTTAAAATAGAGTAAAAAATACTTATTCGTTTATTGTATTTTTATACAAACAACAAAATAATAATGGTAAAATGTGAATAAACATTTAAACCTTATTTTAAAGTATGTTAATAATATTTTTGAACAAAAATATGATTAAGGATAAAATTTTATGATCAATGAAATGTTTAAAATAATAATATGATTAAGAAAAAGTTAAAGATATAAGTGTGATAATGAATAAAAGTTAATTATTTAATGCAATTAAAATATGGTATATTTATTTAAAAAAGGGTAATTGGCACAAAACGTTCCTATCTTTCAATGTTATTGTGCAAAACGTCCATACATTTTATTTTTTGACATTTTCACCCACAGTTCCCACATTTTATTGCTCAAAAAGTCGTTTTCATCCATTTTTTTAATAAATAATGATTTTACCATCATATTCAAATAAAAGAAAACAAAAAATAAATACTAATTGCAATCATAATCCTAAATTTTTAAAAAAAATTATAGCTTAGTTCTAAAATTTCCACTACCACCACTTTCACAACCTTGCCAAGCCGTCACCTATTTATCCACATAGTACCATCTTCCGCCCACATGCCTGCCGAACTCCACCACCACTAGGGTTGTAATGGTGGTATCAATTTGCAGGAATTATGCCCCAGAAGTTAAAGGAATTGGATAAGCAATTATCAGTTTGTGATGAACATCATTCGACTGCAAATTTTGGTAAACAAGTGGTGTAATTTTTGCAATTGAGCAATTTCTATAATGGTATAAATGCATATTTTTTGATTGATGAACATTGATTTTTAAGTTTTAATTGAAGCCAAATTGGACTTTTAAAACCCAGGTCAAGCAAGGAAAACCCTATTTGACCAGGTTCAAAGTCGAGGCTCATCAAGCAAACTTTATAAGCTTGTAACGTTTTAAATTTTTAAAAATATAGAACTAAATTTGAGTATAAAAAAAAATATGTCAAATTTCTTCACTAATTTTCCTTCTACTTTACTTTTACACACAACAATTATTTTTTTTATTTATGCTATTACCAAAACCAGTCTTTTCTTGAAAATTAATATTTTGGCCGCTTTTACGTGATAGTTTCTATTAAATGATTATTTTTAAAAGAATTAATTTTATAAAATTAAATTTATGTAATTATTTTCAAACGGCAAGTATTATCTACATTTCAATTGAAACAATGCTAACTAATTAATGTTTTGAAAATAAAAACACAACAAAATAAGAATTGAGAACACATATATCAAACTAAACAAAAATAAAAATTCTTTATTAGAACTAAAATGTCATGTAATTAATAAAAAATAGGATGTAGATGTAATTTCCTCTTAAATTTAGCGCAAATTCTCCTCAAAACGCCCCCTCCGCATCCATTCATGTGATCCTGGTTAAATATACTTACACTATACTTTTTAATAATTAAATTACACTTTAATTATATGAAATGTTCATAACCTTTTCACATTATCACCTTTATGTCTCAAAATTTTTTCATCGTATTCTTTTTCTCAAATACACATAAAATTTTCATAATTATGATTTCTATCCAAAATTTTCTTTAAGATAGAGTAAAATTACTTATTCGTGTACTGTATTTTTAAACAAACAACAAAATAATAATGTTAAAATGTGAATAAATATTTAAACCTCATTTTAAAGTACGTTAATAATATTTTTGTACAAAAAACATGATTAAGAATAAACCCTTGTTTGGGAGAGATTTTTCTCCTATTTTTAGCGATTTTTTCACTTGTAACTGGGGTTCTATTTTGGCCGCAATATTTCACTGTGGAAATGTAAATACCAAAATGCCCATACCTCATGAGGAATGAATTAAATCACCAAGGGCAAAAATATCTTTCTATCTTAAAAGTGGTCCAAAATTGTGACTGCTTCACATGGATAACAGTTAGATTACGGCTTCAACTTTGTCCAAAATCACTCCCAGATAAGGGCTAAAATTTTATGATCAATGAAATGTTAAAAATAATAATATAATTATGAAAAAGTTATGGATATAAGTGTGATAATGAATAAACGTGAATTATATAATGCAATTAAAGCGGGGTATATTTATTTATTTATTTATTTTATTAAAATGTGGTGTGAATATAAAGAGTCCGCCTCTAACATATTTCTCGAAATTTCCAAATTTCCCCTCCAAGTCTCCCAATTTCGTCATCACCCAGAAGTGTTTCTTTTTCACAACACTCGCTCTCTCTCTCTCTCTCTGGTTTTTATGTGTATGTATACACACACAGTCGTATAGTATCCCCGATCACACGGCGTTAATCACCACCCCTGACCCTCACGACCTCTCACCCGATGGACGTAAGTAAAATTTTCTTCTCTCTTGACTTATACCCACAAATTACCTATCAAAAAAGAATTATACCCACAAATACACGTGTACACATGTGTATAACGCATGCATATATGCGCATGTGTGTAGCTGACTAAATTACTGGGTTTCAATCTTTTTACTGTTTCTTGCACTTGCTAGATTAAAATTTGTTAGGCAATTGAATGATTTCTTGATGGTGTAATTTGAGCTTTAGCCTTGATTGTAATAGTAGGTTCCGAAAGTTGGCCTGAATTTTGCGATTGAGTTGCGACGAAAGCTTGAATTCTAGGCTCTGCGTTAGAAAAACTTTGTCCAAATTGATTAGATCCAATATCTGTGGCATTTGGTTCTCTTTTTCTCAGCAGTCAGAGGAGGACGAGATGCTGGTTCCTCGTGCTGATTTCGTACCGGAAGGCCCTCAACAAATGGAAGGTATAGCCTTCTCCACGTACAAATATTGTTGGACTCATATTTTTAATTTTAGCTGCGTCCTTGGTTTGGTAATTTTTGATTTAATCTAGTTGAACCTATGGAAGTAACGAATACAGTGGATGCCCTAGCAGTGGATGATCCACCTTCAGCCCAGTTTACATGGACAATTGAGAATTATTCGAGGTTGAATATGAAGAAGCTTTATTCTGAAATTTTCATCGTGGGAGGATACAAATGGTAATTCATGAATTGTTTCTGCATGTCCATTAGATTTGTCATCGTCTCCTTTGTGTTTTTATTATTATTTGTGTGGAATTAGAAGGAAAATTACTTTGTGATGGTCAGGAGAGTGCTTATATTTCCGAAGGGTAATGATGTTGAACATTTGTCGATGTATCTTGATGTTGCGGATTCTACAACTTTGCCCTATGGTTGGAGTAGATATGCACAATTTAGCTTGTCAGTGATCAATCAAATTCATAGCAAACTCACCGTTAGGAAAGGTAAGTCTTTCTTAGTATTCACATGTTAATTTCAATAGCAGATGCTATTTATTCGTAGATAGACTATAGAAATTGTATTGTCAATAGCTGTTTATCTTGAGTCTTTTGACTTTGAATAAATTGTTTAGACTCAATTATTTGCTGGAGCATTGTAAGATTTCTACTTGAAAATGCTTTACCTATAACTTAATTTGTATGGAAATATATTTGCAGTAATCAAATGAAAATTAATACCCTGCAAAGTCTATATGTGAAGAAAAATAAGTGTATCACAGTTCTGCCCTCTGTATAGATGGAAACTACTGTAGTTTTATCACAGTTTGGCGGTGGCCCCGTTTTTCTCTTTTATCTTCCGTGCTCAATGATTGTAGCACTTCAAATGTGAAATTTTAAACTTACCGCTTGAAGTACTGAGTGATTAAAGAAAAGATATAATTCAAGATTGTTGGATTTTATGTCCAATAATAAAGAGATGAAATAGGGAAATCAATACAAGAATTTAAATGGTTCGGCAGTGTGTTTACATCCACGAGTGCGAAGTGGAGATATTTTTTTTCATTATGAAAAAATAGAGTTATAATATTATTATTTATACTAACCCTAACCTAGGTCTATAGAGACTCTAAAGCCCGTACAAGAAAATACACATGTACCATACTGCGGGGGCGTTGCCCCTCGCACCCCAAACCCGTTCAACGTCCTTAGCAACCTAATAGTGAATTAAATCCCCGCAAGGCCGATGCCGTCGCTCTGCTCCGTTTGGTTCGGTTCGCTGTACTACGTTCTTCTCACTCCACTTCACTCTGCTTTGACATCGGCCTATCTAATTCAGAGGATCTGCATTCCACTCTATATGAGTCATATGCACAACAAAGATTTAATGTTGAATGCAATTACATTAGTTGTGATGCTCTAATTTGAGTTTATTTCTGGATGCTAGCTGACTTAACACCTGTGCCTAGGTGGGGATTTTTGGCATTGACCCATACCTTGCCTATTAATAGAAATCATTAGTACCGAGGGAAAGTTATGAGTTAATTGTTTTTTGTCTACCCTTTTTTGACAACACAATGGGGAGTCACTGCTTCAATTGTTATTCAATAGTCTTTGTGTGGTGTTTATAGAAGTTAGCAGATCAGAAAGTTAGAACCAATGGTATTTAGCAGCTGGTTAAATGTTTGCATTCTCTGGCATTGGTTGTTGCATTGTTTGCTAGAACTGTGATGTAGATGTGGCTGTAGAGGACTATTGAGCATGGAAAATTTGCAGTGGCTCTGTAGCTGGTTTAAGGCAACAATTTGCAATTTTTATTTCATTCTTTAAGAATCTCTGTGATTATCCATTTTCAGCACTTCCTTCGCAGAGTCATTGTTATCTGTTCTAACTTTCTTGTATATATTCTTTAGTTATTTTTTGGAAAAAATCTGCCAGATATATTCATTTGTTAGTAATAGACATATTTATCTACCTAGTTTCAAGATTCAAACTCCAAAAGTTGCTGTGTAGTAAAATGCTAAATTACCTTTTTGTAGCGAATGATGTTTGTAACTTTTCTTGGTGAAATAATTGCATACTCTCCAGAAGGACAAAAACAATACACTTGCAGCAATTTCTAATGAATCAATTCAATTCAATGAGAAAGTAGTGGAGCTCTTTTAGCTTCCATTTGGGAAGAATTTCTAAACGGTTTAATTCATAAATAGAAAAAAGTGAGTGTTGGATAAGTGGATACTACTTGTGGGTCCATTTCAGCGGACATTTGAAAATAAAGTTTGACTATTCATAAATGATAAATTAATTTTTCCAAACGGAGAATTATTAAGAAAAATTAACTGTAGATTTTCCACATATTCCAGCTTTGATAGTGATTCTGATAAACACATACTAGAAACAGAATTGATTGAGGTTGACCATGCTATGATTTTATTAGCGCAACGTGCTTGCTAATAAGTGTACTTTTACCTTGTGGGCACATATTGATATCAAGTAAGAAATCAAGGCAGTGACTTTGGGATGGTTCACTTATTAGGTTCAAGTGTTTTTTATGAATAAATTTGGGTTCAGCTACATGAATTCTTTTCTTTTGTCCACTACACTCAATCCATCGCCACATTCATCTACTTCACAACAACGATGGATCATGTTAATGGTCACTTATCAACCTTATTAAATAAAATTTTCTCTGCCTTATTTGGTCATATTTTGTTACAAGAAAATCTAGATCTTTTTATTTTAATTTAAATTTTGGTTGATCATGCATTGTGTGTTTCACACTGGGTTTTGATGTGGAAAATTGGTAAACCATGGAGCGGAAAACTAGGGTTAATTGTAAAATAGCACCAAGTAGATAAATGTCAGCTCGAGTAGGATAATTAACATGAATGCAAGTTGCATTGAAATTCTTAATATATCTCCCAATCTAAGACAGTGCCATCTATTACAAGTCGCCAGTCTTTTTAAGTTTCTGTTACTTGCGTACTTAGAAATAAAAAAAAATAAAACATTAAAGCTATAACTTTAGTACATACAATATTAGAGATTTGGAGCTTTATTAGTTGCTGAATTGTGTATTTAGTATTTACTTCATCTTCAATTAAAAAGTATACCTTATTGATTGTTGTTCTTTGCTATAAGTCATCTAATATAGATTCTCACAGATCTTATAGTAGCATTGTTCGTTGGATGGTGGTTTTGATAAAACTATTTTTGCAGACACACATCACCAGTTTAATGCTAGAGAAAGTGATTGGGGCTTCACTTCATTTATGCCTCTTAATGAACTATATGACCCCGGTAGAGGTTATCTTGTGAGTGATACATGTGTAGTCGAGGCTGATGTTGCTGTTCGTAAAGTTGTTGATTACTGGTCACATGACTCAAAGAAGGAGACAGGTTATGTGGGTCTCAAGAATCAGGGAGCTACATGTTATATGAACTCTCTCCTCCAGACACTGTACCATATTCCTTATTTCAGAAAGGTTAGTACATACAGTTTGCTAGTCTCTTCAATATTATTTTCCTAGAAAATGCCTAACACGAACTGTGTTTCAGGCAATATATCACATGCCAACCACAAAGAATGATAATCCATCAGGAAGCATCCCTTTGGCTTTGCAGAGTTTATTCTATAAGCTCCAGTACAATGATACTAGTGTAGCAACAAAAGAGTTGACAAAATCTTTCGGATGGGATACATATGATTCGTTTATGCAGCATGATGTTCAAGAGCTAAATAGAGTTCTTTGTGAAAAACTTGAAGACAAAATGAAAGTAACATGTCTAAAAGCACTATAGTTATCTCGTTATCAAAAATACTGATATAAAAACTATAACATTGAGTTTTCTTGTTTTCGCTTCCTTGGAAATTGGACGCTTATTCATTATTTTAATTGTTTTGTTCAGAGAACTGTTGTGGAGGGTACGATACAACAATTATTTGAAGGACACCACATGAATTATATTGACTGTATCAATGTAGACTATAAATCTGCAAGGAAGGAATCTTTTTATGGTATGTCCCTGAGCACCCAACTGATGGCACCCTTCTGAGGTGATTTTTACGTCTTTCTGTTATTTTCGTTTATGTCAGATCTCCAGCTTGATGTCAAAGGCTGCAAGGATGTGTATGCTTCTTTTGACCAATATGTGGAAGTGGTACCCCTTGAGGGTGACAATAAATATCACGTTGAGCAATATGGTTTGCAGGTTGGATGTCTTTTTTATATTTTATGTTTCCTTATTTGTTTTGACAAATGTTGAACAAACATGATTCTCCTTTTTTTCAATTCCACACATTACCGGTGGATGCTACGGCCGCTATATTGTCAGTGAAAGTGCACTTAAGGCTTGGCAATTCAATAGCCAACTTTTGGAAGGTGTGCCTCTGCAATAGGCGAAATAAGGAGATTGAGAAGGAAAGAAAGTTGTAAAAATTAAAGAAGTAGACCTTGTTTAAGTTGATTGCATATTATGTTGACATACGCACGGATACATGCATTTAGTTTCTTACCTTTTCTTTTCCTTTCTGAAAAAGAAGTTTCTTACCTTATTTTGGAGGAAAACCAAGTTGTAAATTTGTAAGTGCCTGATGATACCTACCTGCTTTCTATTAAGCAAGTCCATCTTTATTTTTGATGTCTGAACCATGATTATACACTTTGTAATTATATTGTTATCAAAGCTTCTATTTCTCACAAAGCTATGGTTAACTTTGATATTTTCAGGATGCCAGGAAGGGTGTCCTGTTCACCAATTTCCCACCTGTTCTCCAGCTTCAGTTAAAAAGATTTGAATATGATTTTATTCAGGATACTATGGTAAAGGTAAGAATTTAGAAATTATCTTTTTGATTCAGATGTGTGTGTGTGTACAATATAGGTATACGGTTTGGTCTACTTTGTATCTAATTAGTCTAGCTGATTGAGTGGGCTTGCCAATTAGGCTGCATGGTAAGTCCTCAAGTCTTCGCTATTTTCAACACTAGTTTTCAGTCTGATAGGTCTATGCTTTTTCCTGCTTGAAATTATTCCACTGGCCAGAAACTAGTTAGATTGGCTGATTTCCACTTTTTCAGAAAACAGTAATTTGTTGAGTTGATTCTTTATCGTATTCTTGGAAACCTCCCAGATGATTTTTCCCAGCTACAAACCATTGCTGGAAGATACCTTTTTATGTCTTTTCAATATTCTGGAAACATTCTTACTTCTCTTTCCTGACTCAAGCTGGTGTTTTTGAGTTCATTTTTCGGGAGCACATGGAGGCGTAGTGTAAAGCTATGAAGTTAATGTATTTATTTATGAGCAGAAACATCCTTTTGGACATTTCAGGTAACATCTAAATTAGGAATTTGTGCTAAAAATTTTAGTGAGGACCTCTGGGTTTTGAAAGATTTTATGAGGCTTGCCTATATACGTCAGCTAAAAAATTGTTTGCTTAAATGTGCTTGTCGTTTCGATGGCTGTCAAAAGAAATAACATTTTAGCTGTGTTGTAGTACAACTAAAATTCCTACTACAAAGATGTTTTATATTTTTTAGAAGTTTATTTTCTATTTAGTTCTCTTGTAATAGGACTTCATATTTTATTAGAATTATAGTTTCTTTATTGAGTTTTAATTAGATTAGACTTCTATTAATTTCATAGTTTCCTTATTTCAATCTCCTAGTACTATTCGGAATAAGAATAATTTACCTATAGGGCCATTGTACAATTTTCATTCATTCATTCTCAAATCAATACAATCAAATTATTCCTAGTTTTTCTTATCTCAATTCTTGGTACAAGAATTTTATTATCGCTTCTGCACCAAGTTGCTTCTCGTAACATCTTTGGTTATATCGAGCTGCTGAACATTTTTAATCATTTAATTATTTGTTATATTGATTAAACAGATTAATGACCGTTATGAGTTCCCTTTGCAACTTGATCTTGACGTTGAGAATGGAAAATACATGTCTCCTGATGCAGATAGGAGTGTTTGCAACCTCTACACGCTTCACAGGTATTCTGTTGCTGCATTTCTTTACTTTTATTTTAATTTGGTGCTATTTCTGGTTATGTATATTTTTTAGATGAGAAACATGTCATTTTGGCCTTATTAATTGTGTTCTGCTCTTTATGCCTTTTGACAATTAACTATGCATTCTTCTCTTTCTCAGAAGTGTGCTGGTCTTGCTAAATTTTTCCACGCTAAACTTCTTGATAATGGTCATTAAAATATCCTTTCTTCGCTACTCTACCTCCTGTTTTTTTTCCTTCCATATTCTACCGCATTTTCTGGGCTCCAATATTAGTTTCAAAACATCTATCAGAACATATAAAAGAGATTTCCCTTTCTTGCTATGACATCCGAAAATAAGTACAGGACGATATTATCTTTATGATACTTGTACTAAATCCGTTCTTGCTGTTTCTAGTGTTTTGGTTCACAGCGGTGGGGTGCATGGTGGACATTATTATGCTTATATCAGGCCAACCCTTTCTGATCAGTGGTATTCACTAGTTTTCTATCTTAGTATTGTGTTTTTACTATATTTTGCTATATCGGGCTTATGCGGGAAAGCATTTTGAACTGCATTTGCTCAATTTTTCTAGTGCACTTATTGGTGATGCGTGCAAGTCTGATCAGAATTTTCTATTTATCTTTGTTTTATTATCTGGGGTTTTTTATTTGCGTTTACAGCTGTAGTAGACGTTCAAAATTTCTTTTTGTCCTTTGTGCATTCTGTTAATTCAGAAACATGAATCAGTACTCATGGTTTATTCCTGCTTTAGTTTTTGAATTGCCCACCATACTGCTCAACAAACTGCAGTTTTAGGTTGCTTTATGTGGTTGTTGACATACTCTTGACTTTGTTTTCCTTTAGGTTCAAATTTGATGATGAACGTGTAACCAAAGAAGACATGAAGAGAGCATTGGAAGAGCAGTATGGTGGTGAGGAAGAGGTAGTTTTTTTAATCTGTTTTGTATGTCAGTTTCCTGCTTATTGATTGTACTGTTCATTTTAATACGTTGTTACTCTTCCCTCTTCTGCACAACAGTTACCACAGACAAACCCTGGATTCAATAATTCACTATTCAAATTTACAAAAAATTCAAACGCATACATGCTTGTGTATATACGTGAAAATGACAAGGATAAAATAATTTGCAACGTGGATGAGAAGGATATTACAGAACACCTGAGGGTGAGACCTTTTGATATCCTTGCTGTTGATGAGATTCTGGTGTTCACTCTGATTTACTGATCTCTAGAACAAAAACATTGCAGATAAGATTGAAGAAAGAACAAGAGGAAAAGGAGCAAAAGAGAAAGGAAAAAGCAGAGGCACACCTCTACACTATCATTCAGGTTACTGCTTACGCTGTTCACTTGTCTGTTCCATCTGTTACACATGGATTCGTTTATGATTTTGTTGTGCCTCATAGATTGCTCGTGATGAGGACCTAGTTCAGCAGATTGGCAGGGAAATATACTTTGATCTTGTGGATCATGACAAAGTTAGCACTTTTCGTATTCAGAAACAGCTGTCTTTTTATCATTTTAAGGTATCCTATAATATATATATATACATTTTTTTTTT